AAAAAAAAAAAAATTCTCTTGACGTTTTTTTTTTTTTTTTCCATCAAATACCACTAATCTTTGTTGTTCAGTCCCAAACTTCTGCTGCTGATGCTACCGCAACAGATGCTGATGTTTGTGCTGATGTTCAGTGACAGCACTACAATGATTGTATAGTGGAATTTTGTTGTACATCTTTAATTTTTTTTTTTCTAACCTTAATTACTTTTACACCATTAAAGGTGTGTTAAATTAGATGGTTAAAAAATTTAGAAAACAATTTCTCTTTTTTGTAAAAAGTTCTGATACCACACAATGCCTGCCCTATTATAAAGCAGATTGGTAGTATTATGATAAACAAGTAAACTTCATCAACAACAGTTAGCAGCTGTAAATAATTGTCGTAACAGCTATCAACTGCAAAAAAAGCTGTCGTAACAGTTATCAACTGTAAATAATTGCAGAAACAAGTTACAACTTCTTTTTTCTTTCTTTTGAAAACCAAAAAATTTTGCATAGGTGATAACGGTATTGCTAAACTGATTCCTTTCTTTTTTTTGCTACAGCGGCAACAACACTCAACGGTAGTAAAAAACAGCAATCAGTAGTAATCTACAGATCAACTAACCGTTTCTTGCGATAAAATCCTTTAAGCAGCTGTTTAATTTTATAAAAAAAAAAAATTCTAGAATAAAGATTTGTTTTTTTCTTTATTTTCTTGTCATTAAAAAATAGTAGTTTAAATAGCAGTTTCATAACAAAATTTGATGTTATTTGACTACTGATGGCTAATAATTATAAATCTTTATCAGATTCATTACAGCAAATTCTTTTCTCCTTTTCTTTCCCCTCTCTCTTTTGGAAGAACAGAATATAGTTGTTTAACATTAAAAACAAATTAACACTGGATAGATGAAGTACTGTTCCAACTTCTAAAGCACTTTTTTAAGAAGTTAAATACAAATGATCAGTACGTCAAATACAGCCTTCTTTGGCTTTCTTGTTGCTTGCTATACTGCTGCCACCTCTCCCACAGTTGTCAGTGATTTTAAACTTCCATTAGGGTATGAATCAAAATTACAGGAACAACAATCTCCGTACCGTTTTGTGAAAGGTCCTCGTTTAAACTTCACTGATCAACCGTTTATTTAGGCAGTTTTTTCTGTACCCAACAAGTATAGTATTATTGTTGAATACGCCTTCACTCTTATTCATTCTCGTTCCATCACTACCGACCCATAATTTACCCATTTAGTCCATTTTAATCCAGAAAACAATTGATATTTTGCTCATATGTTAACTCATTTTTTCTTGTTTATACCTTCGTAACATGAACGCTTTTCG